AAACCAAACTTTTTTCTTTCTCTTTTATCGAAATGTACGTATCGTACGTGTTACGTACGTATTATCTAGAGTAATAGATGATAGGATAGGATAGAGAGAAGAAATGGATTAGAGAGTAAAACGGGATGTTTTTTTCGAAAATAAAAAACGCGATGCACGGTCAACGCGTATGTGTAACATTGGTTATTTCATAGAAATATTACGTTTAATTATCGTTGTGTCGTAGAAAAAAAAAAAAAAAAAATAATAACGTCGATAAGAATAACGTTCGATACTTTCAAAATTATCCTATTATAATAATAAGCGCATATGCAAAGTAAACGAGTAGCATCTACTTCTTCGTTACAGATACGTAATTTAACCGTCGAACAAACTACTTTTTCCACATCTTCGAATTCGTTTAATTCCTCGTAAATCGATATTTTTCTTTTACGTCTTTTATCTCATTATATAATATAATTATCCTTGATGTACGAGAAGAATATGTATATACCTGTAACAAACCTTCGTCCACAATCAGATTCCAACATTCTGAAGTAGCTTGATATTGTTGCTCGATGCTCTGTGAATGAGGCTTAACGACAAACTGCTGCACGTCATTCATGTGTGTCTGTTGCGATTAACGAATATTCATTCGCTCGAACGGAACGATTATCGGAACGATTTGACAGAGAGAGAGAGAGAGAGAGAAAAAAAAAAAAGAAGAAGAAAATAATGCTCGATTCTCGCTCTATCCAAATTTTTCTTCAATTTTTCTCGAAGGGATAAAGTTAATTGAAAAACAAACGCCACTTATCGATACAAGACCGATGATGATACGGGACAGAACGTTTCGCGTTTCCACCACGCGAAAATAAGATCGATCATCGTCGCGGTATTAAAAATTTCACGATCGAATACACCGATCGATACGACATATACACGCACCTTTATGAAACTCGCGATACTGGTATATCGAGATAATTGTCCTTAGACGAGCAACTATAATAACGTCCTTCTGCCACGAATCATCTTATTCTTATTCGAAATGCGCGTGAGAAAAAAAAAAAATGCAAGAAATTACTATCCCACGAAAGGATAAATGCGTACCGAATCACACATTCAGCTCAATTTTTTTTTTTTTTTTTTTTTTTTTTTCCCCCTCCAAAGAAATTGACGATCAGCGGCGAGAGAAGTTAGAGAAACACAACACTTTTCCAAGTCGCACAATCACGTACGTTTATCGAAACGAAGCATTTATCCCGGGACATTGGCGTAACGACTTAACGGGACAAAGTTTTTCAACGAGGGAAAAACGGCAAACTAATTTTCCACAAGGTTTACGTTTACTTCGAACCGCATGTCGTCCGCGAGTGGCAGGAATACAACGCGATCACGATCGTGCACACTGAACGATCATGGTAGGGGTCCCCGTGTTCTCTGATTGGCGGCAGTTTTCAGCTACGCTTATTCACGTGCATGTAAGACCTGTGCACGTAAGTAAGCATTGCGTCACGTTTCTCGAGTCTCGCACTCCTCGTCGAGGACTATGTATCTCGGTAGGTCATTGTCACGATCGTCCTCCTCCTCCTCCTCCTCCTCCTCGCCTAACGAACATGACTTTTCTCGCGGCGAGCACCACGCCGGGTTACGATCACCACGCGTAACCTGCCAGCCTACCAAAACAACCCGCCGCCTATCTTCCTCTCCGCCAACTTGAAACTAAAACGCCGCGTCTTGTTAAAACCGCGTCTCCTCCTCCTCTTTTTCTTCCCTGCAAAATCTCGCGGATTTCGATCCGAGCGACAGACGTTCACCGCATTAACCGATATTATCTCGGATGGTACGCGCGGCGTCGTATCTTATGTGTGTCAGTAGGTTCGAAGAAATACGATGGAAGTTGGAAAATATAGTGCAAACCTCGATCACCGAAATAACTATTTCTCTTTCTACCCGTCTCCGCGTTTCACCTTTCTCGCGCATACGCGCATACCGCTACGCTGCGCGCAGTGTGTGAATTTAGAGAAAAAGAAGACGCTTAAAAACGCTTAATCGTGTAAATCGACCGAGAAAAAAAATCGATGATCGAAAGATTGTTCAAGATAATACAAGATAACGCGTCCGTAGGAAGAAGGAAGAAAGAAAAATTTCGAGATTGTATCGCCACAATTTAGAACACAATTCATCTAGATGTAATGCAAATTTATCGCAATCGTGTGATTAATCGTCGGAAATGGAAAACTGACTTTAAATATTTATCATTTATAATTTCTAAACGCGTATTCATCTTACGTGAATATTTTAAATCATTTGTCTTTCTCTGTGATATCTTTTCGTAAATCAATGGATCGTAAATCAACGTTATGATTGATTTTTAATGATAGATATTTATGTCGATTTTTTTTTTTTTTGTTTCTATAATCTATGCATATTTTTTCATCATTGCATCTATTTTTTTTTTTTGCTTATATTTTATGATTGTTTAATTCCTGTTTGTTTCGAATCATAAATCGAATTAATAAATTATACATCTTATGTATCTTATATATCTTTTTTTTTCTATTCTTTTTTTTTTTTGTTACTCTAAAATAAACGAAGATATTGAATGTAAATAATAATTTCTATAATAATATATTACTTGACATGGCACGATAAGCTTATAAATTTGTTCACGTTTACATATTAAACGTTACATAATTAACATACTTAAAAAATTTATATGTAAGTATATACTCATATGTAAGATAAACTGGTTCCACGTTGGACTGCAAATGTTATTTATCGAAAACTGGTTACAGATGATGGATAAACTATTTTCTAATTAAATCATCTGGAATGTCACATCAAATCACAAATGGCATTTAATCTATATACCCCTTTCTTTCCAAATATATATATATATATATACTTATACACGGAAATTTTCGAAATCGAAAAAATCGAAATCGTTTTTCTGATGGATATCGAAGTTCTTTACACGAATCGTAAAATTTTCTATATATTATGAAATTTGTTGGAAAACACGTCAAATTGATCGGTCTTATACCGTTGAACGTATATTTACAAAGTTAAAAATATAACTTATTTGAACGATATCACAACATATTTGACATATCATAAATCGGATTTGTTATCTCGAATCTATCACTGAACAAACGTATAATTATTTATGTTTACGATAATTTTAAACAAACTAAATTAAAAATCAATAATGTAATTTCTTTACGATATTGGAGCAATTTTTATTTGACTTTTATCCAATAAATAATTTTCATTTAAAATATAATCGAAACTAACGAGAGAAAGAAAAAATAGACAAAAATGAAAAACAATAATGAAAAGCAATATTAATGGGTTAATAGAAAATGTAAATCTAAAGTACAACAATGAAAAAATTTTGTTAACAAATTGAAATGTTATGTGAATGATAAAATAAATACTATTTACTAATCTGATTTCACAATCAGAAATATACAACTTTCATTTAATTTTTAATTTGAGCATAAAAGTAAATATAATAAATATATAATGCAGTAGCAAATTACTAAAATGATAACTATTAATCAAATTATCGTAGAAAAAAAGATCGATATACGTAAAAGTTGATTGAATTTTTTTTTTTCCATCTTTGTATCTTTATTCATTTTAACAAATAATTTGCACATAGCGATTTTAAATCTCTTGAATCCTCTCTGGAATAACGAAGAAATTGTGAAATCTTAACAACGTTATTACCAACATTAACCATCCGCGTGAACGTTCAATGTACGTTCGATGTACGATGTTATAATAATGCTAATATAGAAAAAAGAAAATTATATATGCATGGTGATGCGATTTAATTTTCAAATATATAATAGATGTATGCAACGAAGTGGTAAAACAATCTTGTTATTTTACGAGATTGCAAATACTTATTATTGCTCCATTAATGAATACAAATACTCTTTATAGTTTCATCTACTTTTACTTTGTACGTTTTTTCTTTGTACATCGCGGACAGCGATATGTCGTATTTCGAATCATCCATCTATGATAATTCAATGCAAAATTTTCGAAAGTTTGAATAATAACTTTCATTTCATAAATAAGAGAATTATTCTCGTTTTATTATGGTTTACTTATTAACGCGTAAATTTAAATGATTTTGAAACAAAAGTAAAGAAAAATATGGACAACTAATCCGATCTGTAGATAATTAATTCAATGGAGTCGATTAATTACTGGAAATATCGTTATTTTCTTACTTAACAAAATAAATAAAGATGCGCGATGATTTGCATTCGAAGTTATATTTACGTTTTAATTGATTTCAAAACAGTGGACGTAAGTCGAAAAAAAAAGAAAAGAAAAAAAGTAATTCGAAATAGATATAAAATATATATGTAAGTACTTATATTTCTTTATGATAGATTTCAATTAATAAACGAGAAATAGTTTTTTCTTTAAACAAAATATACGATTAGATATAGAAAAAAAAAAATATAATTATTAAACGTGGTTAACTTTATAAAAAAAAAAAAAAAAAAAAAAAACCAATTTGACAGATAGATACAAGTTTTATGTACAAAAAAATGTTGATGATGTTGGTAATAAAAAAACGATGTAATTAGAAAACGATATAAATATGATTATATGTTCTTTCTTGGAAGAAACTTCTCCAGAAATTACGTTATATTATAACACGCGATGATTAATTACAGCGCAATAAATACAAACTCTTGATAATATTTTACTCGTAAGAACATATTTATACATATTTATAACGACGATAATTTAAACAGAGGCAAATCAAACGAAGGTAATTCAGTAGATGGGACTGTGATACGACATTAACCGTCATATTTCTTTGCGAGCCAACTTATTTATATTCAACGAAAAGAATATAAAAATATAACTTCTCTCTCTTTTCTTTTTTTTTTTTCTTTTTTTTTTCGAATAGATAAGANTTTTTTTTTTTCTTTTTTTTTTTCGAATAGATAAGAATAAGATAAAAGGAATAAAATCGAGATCGTACGTACCTGGAAGGAACGATGGTGAGGATGATGGGGATGATGAAATTGCGGTGTGTGAATCATGTCGCCGGTCTCAGGATCCTCGCACCTCGACGACTTCGCGACCTCGACGCTGCTCGAGCTGGTTATAATCGGCGACTCGTCGTCCTTTGCACTCGTGAATTCTTCGATGCTATCTTTTCCCTTCTTCTTCACTTCCGGTTTCGTTTCCTATATATATATATACATATATATATATATATATAATATAATATCACGTTTTCGTTAACGATCAGAAAGCAAAGTTAAATTGTTCGGTTTCGAATGTATTTAAAATTACGAATAAATAAACGCGATTCAAATATATTCATCGTTTCGAGATAATTCGCGATTCAATTCTTCAAGAGGATAGTTTCAATTTTGAATACAGAGAACTTAATAACGAAAATAACGAAATTTAAGACGACTGAAATTTTGAAACGTAATAATATCTCTCTGTACATTCAACCAAAGCCTAAAACTATTAGCCTATTACCTCGTTCTATCGAACCGGTTAAATGACCCCGGTTTTTAAATAAAAATTATATATACATGTACATATTTTTTTTTCTTCTCGATTGAACGAAGGTGTTAGTCAATTTAATATATTGTAACGTAAACAAAATTGGTTTTCGAATAACGAAAAACTATACCTACATACGTATATATTTTAATCGTAAGAGAAGAACGGGAAGCGGTCATGCAATAATATTATATCTTCGATTTCTCTTCATTCGATCCATTTTGCGATCAATTTCTCGTACATATATCGTCAAAGATGCGATGCGACCGATGCTATTTTGCAGAACACGTCTGAAAATGTTACAATTACGCTTCTGTTTCGATAAAAGTCAACATTCCAATTCCTAGCAAGGATTAAATAATTTCTTTCTTTTTTTTTTTCTTTTTTTTTAATTAAGAACAATTAATATTATTCCGTTGTTTCAAAGAGAGANAGAGAGAGAGAGAGAGAGAGAGAGAGAGAGAGAGAGAGAGAGAAAGAGAGAGATAACGTTGTTCGGTGTTCTTCAAAGAGATTGGAGAGTTATTGAAATTATCCTATTCCATTCCATTCCATTCTTCTCAAATTCTTATAATTATTCCGATGTTTGCCTTTCTATTAATTCTTTTTTCAACATTCTCTGAACAATGGGAAGAGAAAGAAAAATATAAATGAAAGTAGCGGATAGAGAGGAATAAAATGTGGGTAAATAAAGATCGGGACAAACCTCTGATTGCGCCTCATCGAGGCCAACGAGTTGGAGTGCCTCCTCGAGATTGAATCCGTCGGGAAGATCCAAACTATCGTTGTTAAGAAGACTTTCGACGTTTGCGCTTGCTAAGAGACTACCTCCGAGTAAGTCCGAGGGAAGATCATTCTCGAGTTCTAAAGTGTCGGTTAATCCCAAAGAATCATCGGTTAATCCAGCCAACGGGTGATTGTCTAAATCTAGGGACGCTTCTCTAAGGAGGCGATCGTCCTCTTCGATCGCGTTGTTCCCGTTTTCCTCTTGATTTCCAGAATTGAGGATATATTCACCTGTAACACAATTTCGCGTCCAATTCAAATGAACGATACATTTTTTTTTTTCTTCAAGAAAGACAAAGAGTACGCGAAATGTGTTCGATGTTGAGAGAGAGAGAGAGAGAGAGAGAGAGAGAGAGAGAAGAGAAAAATAAAAAAAAGAAACGGAACGTTACACGTGTCTCATCAGACGGCGACTTTTGTCGTTTCATTCGCGGAAAGAAGGCACGCGATCAAATTATCGGTTGATGAAACGTAAGTAAGCGTAAACAGAATTGCGTGCCCAACGTACGAAGTCTTAAGGATCATTTAAAAATATTTAATTGCCCGCAAAATTGCATGGCACGAGCAATTACATTTTCCCACTTTTCACATCGATCACTGTAATTCATCGTTATCGTTCATTTTCACGATCTTTAGTATTATTATTTCAGGAAATCAGAAGGAAAAAAAAAAAAACGTGTACAGGAGCAAGGTCGAGTTATCATTATCTAAGAAATGAAAAATTACTTTGTCCATATCCCAAGCCATAGTTCTTTCTACGGAAGCCGTGTCACTTTTTTCTTTTTTCTTTTAATATATTTCGATTAAACGATTATGAACAAACGAAACAATATAGCGTATTTGTTTAGATTACAAATACGGTATATTGATTATCACAAAGCATTTTAATCCTAGCAATTTTAATAGCACGTTTTACTTTACTACGAATTTAACGCAGCAGCCGGCTTTCAAAGCGAACGAAATTAACTTCGATAAATCTACGATACGCGTTACATTCATTTTACGGTCTAATTTTCGAACGTGTTACGAAAAAAAAAAAAAGAAGAAGAAAGAAAACAAAAGAAAGGAAAGGAAAGGAAAGGAAAGGAAAGGAAAGGAAAGGAAAAGAAAAGGGGAAAAAAAGGTTAGATAAAAACAGTTGCAGGACGATTCGAGGAAACCGGATTCACTGTGACTCGACTAAAACTGTTGGTCTCGAGGCGCAACACTCGAAAACTGACTAGAGCCGACGGACAGGTAAAATTTGGGAGGAGGGACGGAAAAGGAAAAAACGTAACTAATTGAGGGACAAAGGGGTGTTGTTGAAGATCCACCTGCTGGTTCGAACAACCCCTCGATGTTCCCGCCCCACGGCCAATCGCGCGTCCCTCCTCGCTCTACCCTACTTCATCCCTTACGCACGCTCCGAACGCGACCAAACGCTCGCCGCCGCCTTCACCTCCCAGTTACCTCGCCGTCGCTTCCCAAAATCGCTTTCCTCATCCACGATCATTCACCTTTTTTTAATTTTCGCCCCGATTATCGCGATATCGGGATACGCGTAGAATCACCGAATGGACCCAAGTTGAGTCGATCGATCGATCGATCGATCGAGCATCTTTTCACCCGGTGGATAATTAATTAGTCGCTTTCTCGTAGGGGAGGGAAGAAAAAAGAAAAGGAAAGAAAAGAAAAAAGAAGAAGAAGAAGAAGAAGCGGAGGGGGAAATTTTGAGGGACGACGAAATTATCTTTTCCTTTTTTCAGCTTGAGAGGTGATGTTATTAGAGATAATAATCTCATAAAATAATAATTCTCCGAAGGCTGGTCGAATGCGGACAGGTCGGAAAGTGAACGACAGGCGGGCCGGCAAAAGAAGAAGAGGCTTTTCGTTCTACTCTCTTCACGAGTACGGTATGCGCGAGAACCAAGATCCCACCTTTGGGATGGCTATTACATTAACGAGTTGTGGCGGCCATTGTCTGGTCGAAATGCGGGGCAGACCGCACGATCATGCCCACCTATAATTTCCAACTACTTCAACTACTCTCTTCCACGGACTGCACCATTTTTTTTTTTTTTTTTTTTTACGAATGTAACGCAAATTTAAAATAATAATAATAATAATAATAATAATAATAATAATAATAATCGGATACTCTTTTTATTTAGAAAAGATGAAAACGAATAGATTTTTTTTTTTTAGAAATACAGCTAAATGAAAAAAGTGACGATATAAGCTCGACAAGTAAAGATAATCGAAAAATACGCGTGTTTTTTTTTCCTTCCTTTTCTTTGAAATATCGATATTTTTTTTTTTTTTTGCTAGAAACACGAGAGAAACGGGGGAGAACGGGTCGGAGGGAAGGGAATCTTCTTTGCCTGTTTAAAATCCAAAGCGAATTCGCTGGATCACGGTGCGTCCGATGGCATGGCTCTCGGTCTTCATGTTCGATTCCACGGCTTCTTTGAACTCGCGGTCGGCTTTTTCCACGGCCACGGGAACGTCGACAGATCATTTCTCACATTTCGCGCGCGTCTGACGATCATTTTCTTTTCCTTCCAGCGCGCCCCTGCACGGGCTCGTCCTTTTTCGGATAATAATTCCTGCGTTACTCGACAAAATTTTTAGACCAATGCCCCCTTCGACCNGGAACGTCGACAGATCATTTCTCACATTTCGCGCGCGTCTGACGATCATTTTCTTTTCCTTCCAGCGCGCCCCTGCACGGGCTCGCCCTTTTTCGGATAATAATTCCTGCGTTACTCGACAAAATTTTTAGACCAATGCCCCTTTCGACCGAGCGTCGAAAAGGTATTATATACGCTGGCGTTCGTGGTATCCTCTGATACAACGCTCGCTTCCTACAACTTCTCTTTCCACACGGACGTTTCCAACACCGGAATTCTACGGCACGAATGCGCCATCACGATTGTCCTATCCTTGGGTGACAAATATATCGAGGTAAATCTTATTTGCGGCCCTTGACAAAAGGGTGCCAATGACCGATACCGACACGCCGCTTTCAACCATTCCATTTGACGTCTCATTTTCTTTCCCTCGTGTAAATGTAAACGTGATCCTGCCTAAAATCCTCAACGCGCACCTGGTGCGATTATAAATATTGGGTATTATAAACGGTCCAACTCGTAATTCTTATTCTAATTCTTATCAATTGTCCTCCAGATGTAAACCAGAGTAGATTGATAATCACTTTCAAGCAAAAGATAGTATATTATTCGATTATATTCGGAAAACCTATTCGAAATTCGTCTCTTATTTATATAATCGTAAATGATGAGAATGACAAAATTTGCAATTTTCAAGTTAGATATCGGTACGAAAAATAACGGGGGTAATCCATAAACGAATTTTGTTTCCCTAAAATCGTAATTTTTCCGCTATAGAATACGGTTTGTTAATTTCAAACGATCGAGATTATTTATTGGGCGCAGTTTTAGACGGATTATTTAAATTTCGGTCGTACGTACCTTAAAGATTACCGTAATCCGCGGGTAACAAGGATAATCCACAATTCCACGTCATGTGAATCACAACGTCATGTCACAAAGTTTCAAAGTTTAAAATCACCTTCGAGTTATTTTATTCTCACACTGTTCACATCACTGGGAGGTAACGTAAAGGAAGACGCGCGGGTGTAAACGAGACTTTTACCACTCTCTCGATAAAACTCGCGAATACCTCGCATCGAATACACGCACTTTCTCTCCATAAAAAAACTGTCCTTCGGCGCTATTCGCGAAAATACTGGGGAAGAAACTAGATTAAGAGATATTTCGTGAACGCGAATCTAAAGAAACTCGGGAAAGGATATTTGGATGGAATTTTCTCTCATGGTAACGCGATTATCGCGATTCGTGCACGATAGGTGATCGGCGGAGAATCACAACAGCCGGCACTGGCGGATGATTTTGATGCAGGCACAGCATGGAGTCGACTGATAGTCTATCGCGTAGCAAGGCATTGCCTAACCATGGCCAAGACGAGTATTGTGCCAAGCGACGGGTTCTCCGTTAAAAAACGGACCAATCACGACGGGGTTGGCTGTTATTCCAATATGGCTGCCACACAATGCGCGCTCCAGGTCTGGAGAGAAGGGAGGGAAGGTTTCTACCCATAATGCCATTCTCCGACTCCCCACTGTGACCAGGGAGCGTATACCGAGTCTCGATCGGTCCACGTAGCCACGTATCAGCTTATCCAGGGGTGCATCCTACCAACGAGTCGCCTTATCCTCGCAAAAATCTCCATCGATCTTTTACCAAACCGTTTTATCCCATCTTCCGTTTCCGATTCGTCCAACCCGCTCGTGTATTCTTGTACTACGTTACAAATTACATTTACGTTGTATAAATTATACGAAGAGAGAATAGGTCAATATATCGTATTTCGAATATATTTCGAATATATCCGGAAAAATGGAAATTAACTCGATACGTTCCCGATGTTGACCGAAATAAGATCAGAGTCGATAGATGATAAACACTGTAAAATCACTGCCGTTAAAAGATTCGTATCTAAATCCTGTCAAATGCCTGTTCTATAGATACCCTTTATTCTCGCGTCGTCGCTCTTATTCGAATTCCATCAGAGGATCGTCGTCTCGATCGTCGCGCAAAACCAGATATAGATTAGATTAATAATTACTCTCGATAATATTTTTTTTAAAACAATGTTTCGATTTAGAATGTACGTAATTGCGAGGCATAATCTTCGATTTATCGATCAACGAGTACAAATCATTATATCCCCCTCGTCAACTATCCTAGGCAAGCGAATTACGATCACCGACAAAAATATATATATATACATGTAACTTAACAATGCGTGCTCGATCTTCTGGAACGTTGGTGAAAGAACCAAGTCTAAAATCATCCTCTGTATAGGTACGATAAATAATAGTGGGTGCATGAACTTGTGCTTTTCCAACATTGTGGCTCGTCCTGTAATATCTACCGATCTGTGACTTTTTCTTCGACTTCCTTATGAAATGAATACGCATCGCAGCGATACAAATGTTACGTGCAGACCTTTTTTGCAAAAAGAAAGATCGATATCTTTTAAATTATATAAATTCGTTCTATTTAATTTTTTTAATTTAATTTTACTTCGATTCGAATTGTTTCGATATATATTTACACGAGTTATTTATATAGTTCTTATCTTTCCAATTCGAAATTAGAATTCTTCGTTTGTGATTGTGTGTTGCGCGAAAAAAATTTGTCAAGCCT